GGGGGCTTGGAAATGCACACTTTGGTCATTCACCACACGTGTGGTTACTACAGAGTAAACCTGGGAGGTCAGAAAGGCATCCCTTGAGAGAGTGGCAGGAGCAGTAATTCCATAACAGATCTGAAGTACTCGGATGTAGGGTGTGTTTTGTGTCCTTTACAGGCACACAGGTAATAACAGCTGTCTTAATTTTCTGACAGAAAAAAATTTAGGCTACTGTAGTTTTCTGACAGAAAAAATATTTAGGTGAAAATGAGAGTTTACCAAAATTAATGTAACTTTTAACTGTGCTTTGATTATGTTTATCTGAAAGCAGAAATTACATGCTTTTTTTTGCTGTTGGAAATGCTTAGTGTTTTCCTAGGACGAAAAAGAAAGAGAATGAGAAGGAGGGAAGAGGAAAACACTTTAATGCTTATAAAAATCTATTAATTTTTACCATAAGGCACCAAAACTAGAAGACAATATCACTTGAATTTGTTTGGTGGGGTTGTTTGGGCTTTTTTTGATGGTGTGTTTTTTTCTTCAAATTAGTAATTTAAAACAGTCCCATTTTGATTCTAAATTGGTTTGATTATTTTTCACTATTAAAAAATAACTTATAAGGGAAGTTGTTACTTTGATCTGTTCTAACATGTTTTGCTTTGCTATAACTGTTGTTTTGTAATATAAAAACATGCCACAGGGGATGCTTCTGGGTTTGGCAAAAGATTTAGTGATTCAGCTCGTGTCAGGTGTACTTGAGAAAGTGAGATTATTCAGCTGTTACCTCAGTCACTTGAAACTGGTGTCCTTAGGGTAGAAGATACCCTAAGGAAAAAAAGCAAGGCTAGTGACATGCCAAGGGATCCAACAGCTTTGTTCTCACCTCTATTTTCTATAGTCCTGCTCTTGTTCAGCAGTGCGTGGACATTTGTCATGGATTTGATATGTGTAGACCAGTCATTGATTGTCAAATAATTTGATGATGACAGGCTAATAACTTACCTATGCAGGGAAATGTTTTTTTAAAAGAGAAAAATAAAACTTACTTTTTTCTGCTCCTCTTGAGACAAATGCTGTCACCCTCTTCAGAAGAGTGGATTTCTTCAGATTGATTTCCTTTACACACAACACAAGATGCACTAAAAAGGCACTTCTGTACTGGAATAAGAATGTCTACATCCAGAGTTTGTACTGGTATAAAATATACATGTTCAAGTGTATGCTTTAGATCACAGTAGGAAACAGTGTGATTTCTTAGGATAAATAACATCCGATTTTATAGTATGACAGAATTTAGGAATGCGAAGAGATTAGGCAGGACATGTTTCTAGTCCCTGAAACTGGAATCTTGGATATCTGTATTCTATTTCTGGTTTTGCTACAGCTTTTTTACACGTCTGTAGGAAAATCATTTGCATAGAATTAACAGTGCTTTGCCACCTTGTGGCATTTGGGATGGGTAAAGAGGAGTTGGATACCGGAGTAAGAGGTGAAGCATCATGTACTTATGCTGTACGTATACTACACTATGGAGTATCATTGTGAAAAGATGGTAAACGCTATGGCTGCTGAGTAGAAGCTGGCCTTTGTATTAAAATGCTCACTGCTAGGAATCCGAGAGCAAAGAGACCGATACAGAAGAGGTGGCCCCAACATGGGATGGTTGAGGAATGGACACAGCATGTTGTGTGAAAGAGCACAGAAGGCCATCTCCCCTGCAGAGCTTGCCTTGGAGCCCTGAAAGCTCTGGTCTGATCCAAAACTCACTGCAGTGGATTCCCCCATCCTCCTGGTTTTGATGAATTCTGGTGCAGACTGTAAGTGATTGGAACGGTCCTGGCTCATTGTGTTGCGATACTGTTTGGGCGAGTTCAGTCTGCTTTCACTGACCAGCATAAGAAATCACCATCTGACTGAAGTTAAAAAATAAGGCTCTCATTTCTCCTTTGATACGCTTGTGCTCTGCACTTGCAAATGAAGTCCACCAAAAACACTGTAGTTTAAATCCTAGAGTATGAAGCCACCTTAGATTCCTGAGATCAGTATATAATATCTGAGGAGGGTTGTGTTTATGCTTGTGAATGGCATTTTTATTTCAGGTGAATTTTAAGTGGATGAAAGTTATCTTTTATTGTCTTATCCCCCTTATGCTGTGCATATGCTAATGACAATTGTCTTGAGTCATCAAGTGGGTGGTCTATTTTGGGCATCTGCCGACTGTGACTGCTGGACAAAAGTCAGTGAGAGATATCTGCAGAAGTAACAAGAGTGGAAGGCTATGTTCCCAGAGGCATCTTGGGTGGGTTCCTCATTCCCAAAGCAATGTTTTTAACTTGCTCTTCTGAATGACAAACTCTCTCTTAGGACAATGGTGGTGTTCTAGGTGTGTTTGCATTAATGTTATTTATAGCCATGTACCTTGGATTCTGATGCAGGGAGTAGTCAGCTTGAGAGATTTACAGTCTTTGGGCAAGTCTCAGCAGTACCTCTTAATACGTGGGCATTTTCCTGTACTTAACTTTTGCATGTGCTCAGAACTTATTCTTGCAATTCAGGATGAGCAAAAGGTTTGGGTTTTTCAACAAGGCTTGGCTTTGTTCTTTGTTTGGTTTTGCTGAAGTCTGTGAGTGTTGAACTAGATTTTGCACTAACACTTCAGAAGATCCTGCTCTGAACAATTGCAAGCAGCATTATATAAACTTAGTATGGAGCCAATAGCTCAGAGACATCCTTGTTCTTTTAAATGCTAGTAAAGCATTTGTTGACTGTTGTTTCAAGCCCTGAGCAGTATTGGTCAATGAGCTTTCTCTGGGATTGTGAAAGGTTGCTTGAGGAATACAGTAATTTGCTTACAAAGTTAAATTTGAGTTGTTCATTTTCATTGAGAGGAAAAAGAGACGTTTTTGTCCCAGGCATGAATGTGGCTTTGGGAAGGGAATTAATGAGCAAAGTAGTAGAACAGTTCACCTGGCTTCATGTTGAAAACTCTGAAAATATGGACAAAGTAAGGATCAGCCAGAAAATGTCTGAGAAAGTATGGGAATGGAAAGTGGAAGTGAAATAAACCTCTGCATTGTAGTTCATCTAGTCGAGGCTCACCAGTGGAAGTGTTGATTTCTACAGTGCACTTTAATAATGCTGTAGTTATTCTGGTCTTTAGCGTCACAGCCTGTGTGGTTTCTATCAGTTGTCTTAGGTAGCTGGGTAAGAGAGATCATCACTAGAGCACAGTTATACAGGAAGGTGTGGGAGGCAAATTTGTCTCCATTGCAGAGCTTTGGAACTGGGGTTTTAACAGATTTGTTAATGAAAATGCAGTAGACCCCACAGAGCCTTTAGAAGAGCCACTGCATCTGCAGTGGCGACCTCCAGCAAGGCTGTTACTGAAGGCATGAGAGCTACTGCTAGGGATACCTTGCACCTCCCTCTTCTCCACGAGGTGCCTGCAAGTGTCTGTCACGCAGTGGAAATGGAAACTTCTCAAATGTGACAGAAATGGATGTGTGTTGGTCATGTGACAGATGCATGTCAGTCATGTCACATCACAATATGCATTCTGCCCCACAAGGTGTGCAGGTACACACCCTTTGAAAAGGAGGGGACGCAGTTTTGATGTACAGCTGAAGTGTTTCCCATTGTCTGCTCAGAGTGAAGCTGTGGGTCCTTTGCGGGGAGAGCGCGGGGCTTGCCAGAGTAATGCGTATGCTCTGTATCTTCTCCTCCATCTTGGGAGGACAGAGCGGAGAGGAGAGCAGGCCGGAGGCTGGGTGTGGGCCATTAGAAGCTCACCACCTAATGACTACATTGTGAGAGGGAAAGGAGTGAAGGGAAATGAATGGTCACAAAGTCCCCCTGGATCTCCCTGTGCTTTGGAAACAGCGATCCAAAAGGAGCAGCAAGCAGCCTCTGGGATTCACAAGGAAATATAAGTTACATTGAGAAGTACAGATATGCTGCTGAAGCCTGGAGATGTGTGAGAATGACTGCATGGCTCAATGTAGTTAGATTTTGTTATGATGCTAGAGGCCTTACAGCTACTTTACGTGTTCTGATCTAAACAGTGAATGTTGTTTGGGCCATTGGGGACAACATTTATCTACACAGGAGACACCAAACGTAATAAACTGATGGGCAGGTTACTGCGTTAAAATCTACTCTGTTTAACGTAACATAAAATCCACTCTGTTAACGTAACATCTATGTTGCTGTGTGGGTGTAGCCTGAGGAATTATGTGGTCTCTGATCTTCTTCTCTTCCAAAAGCAGCACAGCATAATGCACTCCCAGATCCTCAAATGCACCAATGTGAGGCTTGTCTTTCCAGACCTCACAGAGCTTATTGACTTAAAAGATTGTGTTCAGGAAAGGAATTTCAGTTACACAGAGTAATGCATGCAACAAACGCCACTGGCGTGTTTGTCATTTGGAACACCTAGTGTGTGATGAAAGATGTTGAGCTGAAACCTCTGTAGATGTAATCACAACGTCTTTTTGCAGCAGTAGTTCAAATTTCCATTTGCTGTCCTGCTTGTGTGCTTCAAGAACACTGCCTGACATGAGAAAAAGGAAGCTCTGTCTTGTGGTCTCCTTGGTTCGTGGTCTGCCTGCTGATGCTTTAATGAAGAAGCCTGTAATGCTGATTCTCATGCTAGCTCTCTTCAGCCTAGTGTGGATACTTCATGGTCCATAAGTTTGTAAAATTAATAATTAGTTGCTTTACTTCTGTCACATTTATGTTTCAAGGCACGTTCTATGCTTCTAGTTAAGTATGTGGTCAGATACTTCAGTGAGAGGCAAGAATCCTCTTCACTTATAGGCGCTCACCTCTTTCCAGGTTTGGACCCTCACTGTTAGGCTGAGACTGCTGAACTCATTCTTTTTATTGATCAGTGGTAACTTTGGCCATGAATAAGCTGCAATGGATCCAAAGTGACTACACCAGAAATGTGTTTTACTGATTCTTTGCCTGTTGGAAGATTATAATAAATGTCATTCTTCCTTAATATTTCAGTTGCATCATCTGTGTGCATCAATGAAAAGTCGAAATATGGCTTTGTTCAAGCAACAGAAGGTGGAGGATGTTTACGAAATCGGGGAAGAGCTAGGAAGGTAAGTTTGTACTGATGACACCAGGCTATTCTAAAAGCTGACACATGGGGATGTTTGCCACATCTTAAAACAATGACTGCATGATGGCTTAAACCAATTGCAATATACAATGATAGAAACACATCCCTTTGCAAAAATGGCACTTTGCATATTTTTTTAAGTTAAGTGTGCTAACTATTCTTCCTGTTTCTTTTCTTGCAAGTCTGACAACAAAAGGTAGGTTTACATTGTCTTCTGTAGATAGTTGTCATCTGTGTCTGTGCTTTAAGTTCACCTGTTTGTTCTCTGCAATAGCTAGGAAGGAGGAACTCGTGGTGCCGTCATGGTGATACCATGAAAGTTGGCAGAGAAAAACCCTCTAAGATTTATTTTGAAGTTTTAGAAGGCAGGCGTTCTTTATTGCAACGCTGGAGACATGGGAGATGATTCCTCCGAATGTGTCTCCCTTTGGTTGAAGTTAGTGAAGTTTATATAAGTCAGTTGTATACATATGTATTGGATTTCCAAGAATAATCCTATAAATTTATCTCATTTTTGAGAACTAGTTACAATACTTGCATTATAGTTATGCATATGTCCTGAGTCTTTTAGGTTTTTTTTATGAGGGTCTTTTGGGATCTTCGAGACCCTCTGGTGGTCATTCTTTAAATGTCCTTTGGTTGAACTTTCTTTTGGAGCATGCACCCTGAGGAAGAGTCCAGGTGTCCTTTATTTCGATTCTAATGGTTAACCAGTTCTAGCTACCACCTAAGGTTGATCTGGTCTACTCTTAACTCAGTGATTAGTTTTCTGCTCGTTAACATTCTCGAATAGTCTATTGTTTAGATCTCCATTTTTATAATAATTTGTTATCTGATAACAGGAAGACTACAAACAATTATGCAAAAGAATACAGGTGGACATATACAAAGAATATAGATAGATATATACAAAAAGAATACAGATGGGCTGTTTCATGTTCTCGGTATCAATGGACGCTGTTTTAATTTGGCTCGTTCTGAACAGTGCTGCACGGCACTGTTGTTTTCAACTGGCTCCTGGCGCTGAAAGAACGTGTTCATATCTGCCTGCAGACTGCTGTGTATGTATTCCTGAAAAGATTTACCTGTCAAAATTTCAACTGGACTGGTTAATACTTTTATATAGCTTTTAATCTATAAAGGCTTATCTGCAGGTGTTAATTATAGGTGGAGTTAATGGGCTATTACCATGCTTAGCCATAAACACCTGCTTAAACACTGTGCTGGGTTTGTGAACTGATGACACAGGGCCCCCCCAGTCACTTAGCAACATGCAGTGCTCTGGGTGAGGATAGCTGGTTTCCAACCCTCCACTGATGTTCTTTTTAATATGCAAATAGCTAAATTAGGGCTATACACATGTTGGCTTCTTTCCCAATATCTGGCAGTTGGTTTTGATAAATGACTGTGTATGTGCAATCACCCTCTTTTGAGGGCCAATAATTTAGTTACAGTAAAACACTTCAGTTGAAGCTGTTTTGCTGCCAAATCTTATTTTTTTCACTCCCAGCTATTTAATCTTTAGAGTTGTTGAGAAGATTTATTTTAAGGGGAGATTGGGGGGTTGGTTTGTTGGGTTTTTTTGTGATTCCCTTCCCTCTCAGGAAGGCCTCCATTATTAATTTTCTGTAGCTGCTTACTTTTGAGTATTGGCTGGTCCAGAGAACATCCT